CCAGGAGCCTGTCCATTCTGTATCAGTTGGGGGCCTTAGAATTGTATTTCCGCTTTACAGGCTCGTCTGCCCATGAGGCCTTTTGTGACTGCCCAGGCAAGGCCCTAACGCCAACCTGCTCCTCCCTACTGGGTCCTTCTAACCCAGGTGACATGAATCACTTACTCCATTCCTCCTCTTTGCTCTGGTCCCTGGGGAAGCAGGTCTTTTTCCTTCCTCCTGCTTGTGTACCCTGGGCCAGGCCCTGCCTCTCTGTGACTGCTCACCTTTTCGAGAACCAGAGCACTGACTCCCAACACCAGGTGCAGCCCACCCTGAGCTCAGGTATGGTGGTGCACGCTTCTAATCTCAGCTACTCAGGAGGATGAGGCAGGAGACTCACTCAAGCCCAACTCAGGAAGTAGAGGTTGCAGTGAGCCAAGATCGTGCCACTATACTCCAGCCTGGGCAACAGAGCGAGACTCTGTCTCAAAAAAAGGGAAGAAAGAAAGAGCCAACTGAGACCCCCCAGGAACCAAACCGAGACCAGACAACACCCCGAATTGGGTTACAGACAACACATGGTCGAGCTATAAACTGACACCCCTCAGTGGGACTACAGACACCCCACCAGGGGATACAGAGCCAGTCGGCAGAAAAAAGGAGGCGTTGGCAACGCCTAGGTTACTCGCCAATCCAGACACCCTGCAAGAGGTGACAGACAGACACCCCACCATGGGGCTACAGACAGATACCCTGTGATAGGGCGAAAGTTAAGGGAGGTCTTCCAGGACTTTTTCTCTATTAAAGTGAAATCCATGTGCATTGGGTCGGCAGAGCCCCAGCAGCAGAGAGAATGCCACAGTTAGCCCCGTACAAGAAAACTGGGTGGCCGCTTGGTCTGGCCTCTGGATCCATCGCTGGCAGCCACACGGGCCATCCTGGATGAGCCCACACATTTGTAACTGCCCAAGGGGTTCACCTTGCCCACTGTGTAGACAGAGCCGATTTTTCAATAGAGGGGAATTGCAATAGAGAAAGAGTAATTTACACAGAGTCAGCTGTATGGCAGACCAGAGTTTTATCATTACTCAAGTCAGTCTCTGTTTAGATTTTTAACCCACTGCTTATATTTTGTTGTATGCGAGTGAGAATGGGCTTCCAGGAATCAGAACACATATTCCTCCTTTAAGTCAGCTGAGTAGGACCACGAATGAAGTGTGCGGCGCTCATGGCGTGGTCCACAGATAAATACCTGTGTATTTTGCATCACACAGAGCACTGCAACAGAAAAATCAAAGGACGGAGCATTTACTTTGCACCCAGTAGAGGGTGACAAACACGCCAGACTCATATTCTTGGAGAAGAAAAAAGGTGGCAGGTATGAAAGAGATTCGGACTGCGTGACATAGAACAGTCAGGTGAATTGCAGTGGGGTCCAGCTGGGAAAATGAGGCTGTGTGAAATACCTGGAAGATAAAACCAGGCAATCCACAATTCACTGTGAGATTTTGTAATTAACCACGTTCTCAAAGAAGCCCATGAGCGCAGGGAGGATTTGCTTTGGGTGAATTCCAGCGTCCTTGCCTCCTCTTCAGCCCCAACACGGGCCTTTCACTGGTGCATAGTAGTTTGAGATCTCAAAACCCAGTCCCATGTTTCAAGGTACAGATACAACCGAACATCAGACACTCAGAGGCCGAGGATGCGGTCTCAGGATCAGCAAAGCTGCCCACCAGCCTTGAGAGCAGCTCCTCCCTCCCTGCAGGCTCTCCCTGAGCTCAGATGGGGCCTTCAAAGCCTTTGTTGCGGCCTGGGTGGGGGGGGGGGGGGGGAGGGGAAGCAGGAGCACATTTGTTAATGAGGGGAAATGCTGTGTGCTTTCAAGGGAAAATGCTGAACTCATTACAGCAGCCTCCTAATGGCTGTTAGGAAATAGGCAGCCTTGCATCTAAATAGAACCCCATCTTTCAAAGCCTTCAATTCCCTATCCTTGAGGTTTCTCTTCAAAGAGGGCTGAGCACATTCACCCAGGCACTAGGAGGCCCTGTGCACTTCTTGTCCTGCTGTTTCCATGGAGAGTTTAGAAAGGATTATGGATATTTCAGTCGTTAAGAGAGTCAGACCGAGAGCCCCGAGGCTGGTCAGTCAAGGTCACCTGGAGCAGCTCCCTTTGCTGGCTGGAACCGGGTCCTGGGAAGAAGAAAGGCTGAAGTTCCCAAGTGCTTCCCCACCCAGCCCCCCAGGCCAGAGAGTGGTGGGGCCCTACCCTGGGCTCTAACTTTTCTCCAGTGGATGAATAAGGGACCCCAGAGCCAGAAGCTGGAGCTCACAAGGGACACCCCGTCTTCTCATAAGCTCCCAAATGATCGGCCTATGGACCAATGTATAACCCACTGACACTGGAGAGAGTGTTGCTGTTTTAAGATGAGCTGAAGCAGGAAGTGCTACTGTGCCGTCTCCATGTGGGCACTGTCAGCCTGCATGTCATCATCTGTAGCTAATGACTGTGACCTCTGTGTTGCACCCTCACAAAACAGGACAACTCATCTAAACTTTCCTACAAAACCTTTCAGGTTGTGACAGACTCCAGAACACTCAGCTCCGTGGGTGCGTCTTCCCAGGTCCAACCTCACATTTGACTTTCAATAAACCTTGATACAATTATTTCTGCCTCAACAGCCTTAATTTCAGCTGACAAGCTCAAGTCCACCCGTGACGGGGGAGCAAAGCAAAGGACACAATTTGCACAGCATCATAGGGTTATAGGAGAAGTGGCTGCCAACAGGACCCCAGGACAGCGGGAATGCAGTAGCTTCTGATCAAAGTCTCCACTGAGTGAAGTTTAGAGCCTGTGTGAAGAGGTTGAATTTGACGGGAATATTGAGTATGGGCCCACAATTGAGAACTCACAATTATTTCAAACATTTTTAGAATGTAAATTTGATCGGTTTGAAAGTTATATTGCACATAAATTGATAACATATTTTCAGAGTTTAGAAGTATACAACACATCTGACTCAGTCATCTCTGTCACTGGTATGTGCACGGTAAACAAAGAAAGAACTGATGCATCAAACAATGACTCCACAGAGCTCCAACAGTCCAGTTCCCAGGAGGTGTACACCAAAAAGCGCCTGAGGCTGGTCCCAATCAGCGTACGGTGTGTTTCGTCAAGTTTTCCCAGGATGTGCCTCGGAAAAGGGAACACAGAACCAGAGGAACATCTGCCATCTGCGCTTTTTCCAAAGAGGATTTTAGGGCTTCAACATTTAAATAGGAGAAGTGGGCAAGAGGGGAAATAGGGAGGGTAGGGTTACATTCCTGTGAGGCTGTGATTAGATGCACTGAATCCACGTGTTGTGAGTGAAAAGGAGGGGGTGGGGGACACTCAGCTGTGTATTCACCTCATGCGCAGTAAGTTGTCACTTTACCTAAGATAAGGTGCCCACAGAGCAGCTGCCTGCGGAGACACCTGGCCTTCTTTCTAAGGTTGTCTGCTTAGGAACAAAAGGAAAGGCAGTTTCTTGCCTGACTCAGCTTCTGGCCTTAACTTTTCCCTTCGGCATAGTGAATGGGGTCCTGAGAGTTTATTTTTCTTTCACAGAAGGAATTTGATCCCTTCTGGTCTCTCACAGAAGAGGGTAGGATTTTCACCAAGTTCATTTGCAGAGGGTGTCCCTGCAGTGGCCCCAAGACAATGCCCCCGTGTTCTGCACACTGTTCCTGCCCCGTCCACAAGGACGGGCCTCGTGGCCGTATTGGTGGCCTCTGAACTCCTCCTACGCCTGGTGAATTAGCCTGGGGTGGGGGGACATACCACTCAAGCAAGCGCATCACAATCTGCCTCTTCCTTTCCTAAGAATTGTGCTTTGGAACTGTCAGGGAACTGAGGTACTTTTTCCTTCTGAATGAAATTAGGAGAAAAAATATGCTTCATTGTTAAGGAAATACAGAACTACCGAATCAGGTAAACTGATCAAGGTTGAAACCGGAAACGCCCATCAGCAAGTTTTTAAGCTGAACTTACTGTGTCCATAACAAAAAGGAGAACAAATTTATCTCTATCACAGCATTTAGAATCATCTTCAACACGAAACCCAACCCCTCCTTGTTTTCCTTAGCAAAATAAACAAGCAAATCAACCTATTCTTCAGAGGTACCTTCTGAAGCTGAAGTTACCGTGATTACCCAGCACGGTGTGCCACCAAGAGGACCCCAAAGAAGTTGTAGCAGGACCTGCCAAGGGAAACGGTCGTCTCTGACACTGAATATAGGAGGAAGGAGTTTATTCAGCCGGGAGCAAGGTGGCATAGTTGCCTAACAGCCAAGCTCCCCTAACAAAGGAAGGTTCCATCTTGACATAGGCTTATACTTTAGATGGTACTCGTGGAAGAATCTTAGGTTTATAGCTTAATATATGAAACGGGTCTCGGTTTACAGTCTTAGGAATTACATATGAAAAGGGTTTTGGAGGCCAAGCTCAGTGGCTCACGCCTATAATCTCAGCACTTTGGGAGGCCGAGGCGGGTGGATCACGAGGTCAAGAGATCAAGACCATCCTGGTCAACAAGGTGAACCGCATCTCTACTAAAAATACAAAAATTAGCTGAGCATGGTGGTGCACGCCTGTAGTCCCAGCTACTTGGGAGGCTGAGGCAGGAGAATTGCTTGAACCCAGAAGGCGGAGGTTGCGGTGAGCCGAGATTGCGCCATTGCACTCCAGCCTGGGTAACAACAGGGAAACTCTGTCTCAAAAACTAAGAAAAGGGTTTTGGTTTATAGTCTTAGAAATTACATATGAAAAGGATCTCAGTTTACAGTCTCAGGAATTACCTAAAAAAGGGCTTTGGTTTACAGTCTTAGGAAGGAAAAGAGGAAGTTTCCAGTCTTAGGAAAAGGGGAAGTTGATCTGAGATGCTGGGTCTCCCTCTTCAAAGTCATCCCACCAGGAGGAGCCCCAGGAGGTTCAGGGCACATCATTAGCAATTCCTCCTACTTCCAAGCTGCCTGTTTCTTCTGAGACCAGAAGGTCCTACATGCCCTCCCTGGCCAGGAGGGAGAATGGATGGGAGTGGAGGAAAAGATGAGGTGAATAATTCTGGCAGAGAAAAGGCAACCAGGAGCCCAGCACAGAGCGGGATTCTAATACTCACTCCCTGGCCTGAGGGGCCCCTCGGAAAGGTGAGCTTTAGATGCACATGGGGAGGAGAGTGTGTGTACGGGAGCTGGCAGCTCCACAAAACTCCCCCAAAATGTGTATCTTTTTCCAACATAGCCTGTGTGTGTTGAGAGAGGAGATTTAGGCTCTGTGACTAAACTCTGAGTGGATCAGGCACTGTCAAAAAGGCGACAGGTGGGCCTCGTGGACTGGGCCTCTAAATCTGCCAGGTGCTGATGTCCATAAGCCAAGCCAAGCCAGGCAGTGGGCTGTTCAGAAGCTGCGCCAGCCCGGCCAAGCGGCAGCAGTGCCCACATCTGCGGGTGGAGCTCAGCCCGTGTGGCTGACTCTCAGGCTCACCCTTTGGTTTTCCTTTCAGAGGAGATAAGGATTCTAGTTTCCCAATCAAAGAAAAGGGAAAGGCCGGGCGTGGTGGCTCACGCCCATAATCCCAGCACTTTGGGAGTCCAAGGTGGGTGGATCACGAGGTCAAGAGACCAAGACCATCCTGGTCAACATGGTGAAACCACGTCTCTACTAAAAATACAAAAAATTAGCTGGCCTGTAATCAATGGTGGCGCGTGCCTGTAGTCCCAGCTACTCGGGAGGCTGAGGCAGGAGAATTGCCTGAACCCAGGGGGCGGAGGTTGCGGTGAGCCGAGATCGCACCATTGCACCCCATCCTGGGTAACAAGAGGGAAACTCTGTCTCAAAAAAAAAAAAAGAGAAAAGGGAATAAAAAACTGCAAGTCATGGTGACATTAGATGACAGAATTCTTATTTCCTGAGAAAGTGGACTGAGATTTCATAGTCTTGCCTTAAGATTCATGTGGAAATACGTGTGTGATGTCAGAAATAAAACCCAAACAGACTAGCAGACTAATTTTTATTGTACCAGAGAGAGGCGTCATGCCAGAATCAGTCTTGGCAGGGTGGCTTGTCTTGGACTTATCTGAGATGGTAGATAAGTTTCAGACAGGGTGATGTGTAAATGGGGGATGCCTCAGCCCGTCAGCTGACCAGGAAACACTTTCAATGTATCTGTGTCATTCCAGGGTGTCCAGAGGTTCTACTCTCAGCTACTCAATGGTGAGACAGAGAGTGGAGGCCTGCAGGGTGTGGATCTGACCTCGTCACAGGTAAGCGAGAGGTCATCCCACACCTGATGGGGTCAAGAGAAAGTGTGCATAGGAGGCCCCGTCCAGTTCTGTGGGGGAGGCATAGGGGCCCCGCCCTGGTCTGTGGGGGAGGCATAGGGGCGCCGCCCTGGTCTGTGGGGGGCAGTGATTCTTTTGTGCTGATTCTTTCCTGGAACAGAAAAAGGTGGTGGGAGGTTTGGAAAAATAAGTTGGGGTGTTTTGCGACTTTCATTGTTTTCTTGGAGTATGGGCTCAGGTTCACCTGAAAATGTTGACAAGTTCATTATTGTCAGTAAAAACACCAATGGATTTTGTAGCAAATGTTCAAGGAACAGTGGGGTTGACTATAGATTTTCTTGTGTCCCAAATATTAGGTGAAATGTGGATTCCATGTGTGATGAAAAAAGCTAAACTCTGTAAAATATTTGAAGGTATTTATTCTGAGCCAAGTGTGAGGAGCATGACCAGAACACAGGTTCTGAGAATGTGCCCCAGGTGATCAGGTTACAGCTTGGTTTTCTATGTTTTACGGAGACCGAAGACGCAGTCAATGCATGGAAGAAGTGCACTGGCTCAGTCCTCAGGGGCAAGAGAACAGGGGCTTCCAGGTCATAGGTGAATTCTAAAATTTTCCGATTAGTAATTGGTTGAAAGATTTATTATCTGCAGTCCATAGAAAGGAGTGTCTGTCATCCCATCACTTTGGGAGGCACAGGCGGGCAGATCACAAGGTTAGGAGTTTGAGACCAGCCTGGCCAACATGGTGAAATCCCGTCTCGACTAAAGATACAAAAAATTATCTGGGCATGGTGGTGGGCACCTGTAATCCCAGCTACTTTGGCGGTGGAGGCAGGAGAATTGCTTGAATCTGGGAGGCAGAGGTTGCAGTGAGCTGAGATAATGCCATTGCCCTACAGCCCGGGAGACAGGGCGAGACTTCATCACAAACAAACAAACAAAAAAATGGAAGAAGAAAAGCTAGGAGCATCTATGTTTAGATAAGCGGTTGTGAAGACCAAGGCTCTTATTATGTAGATGAAGTCCCATGGGTGGCTCCCTTAGAGACAATGAATAGCAAATGTGTCCTGTTCAGACCTTGAGAAAAATGCTAGACTCTGTGCTAATCACATTGGGCTCCTAGAAAAAGAGGAGAATTTTCTACAAAATGCAAAGTTTCCCTTCAAGAGACAGCTTTGCAGAGCCGTTTCAAAATGTGTCAGAGAAATGTTTTTTGGGGTAAAACAATTTGATTTCCCTCAAAGCTATCTGTCATGTGATGCAATGGTAGAGTGAGGTTGGAATGTGGTATCTTGTTTCTACAAAGAGTGTTTTGTCAGGTTTAAGATCTGCTTTCATGTTAATTCTGGCCTGTGGCTCCTGAATTCCAAAGCAAGGAGTGGATAGAGGCCCATCCATCTTGCCTTCCCATGGTGGCCTGAATTAGGTTGTTAGAATTCTAAGGAATCCCCTTGGCTGAGAAGAGGGGACCCTTCAGTCAGTTGGGGGTCTTACAATTTCACTTTTGGTTTACAGTTGTGTGAAAGTGAGTTGGGTAAGGTGGCAGGGAAAGAAGCGGGTGCAGGTCCATCTGCAAAGATGATTTCTGCGCTCCGCCTCCCTTTGAAACATGCGCACCCCCTCACTGCCCTGCATTGCCTGCCAGCTAGAATCACCTGTGGAACGCGCCAGGTTTGAGATAAACACACACCTTAATTTTCATCGTTTCATAGTTGGTCTGGTGAATAAAAGGTAATGGAGACCTTTCATCATGTTCAGAAAGAAATTATAAATACCCAGTGGTTAAAAGAGTATAGTCACAGGAAAGAATCTCTGAAAACCTGCATCAATAACAACTTAAAATGTGAAAAAGACAGTAACTTGTTGATGTTTCAAAGATGAATTGAGTCTTTCTGGTATGTGGGCACTTCAGTAAATGTTTTCGTAGCATCAAGGTCTCACAGCACATTAAATCTCCTCTGGAAAGGTTCACACTCAAGGTCAGGCAGAGCTTGTTTCGGCAGAGCCTATATGTTCTCCTAAAATTCTACTAAAATCCCACAAATACTTGCTGAATGCAAATGAAGTGCAAAAGCCAGGGCAAAATGCTCTCTGGCTCCTGCGCACTGCTGGGCCCGGGACATTCTCGTAAAACAAGCCTTGGGCTGTCTCCAAAACACTAGGGATGGGGGAGATTTCACCAGAACCCTGTTCTAAGTAGAATTTTCCATGCTGCAGAAAAATTAGCACTTGAATAGAAATTCCTGGGCCGGGCGAGGTGGCTCACGCCTATAATCCCAGCACTTTGGGAGGCCCAGGCTGGTAGATCAGGAGGTCAAGAGATCGAGACCATCCTGGTCAATAAGGTGAAACACCATCTCTACTAAAAATACAAAAATTAGCTGGTCATGGTGGTGCGCTCCTGTAGTCCCAGCTATTCGGGAGGCTGAGGCAAGAGAATTGCTTGAACCCAGGAGGCGGAGGTTGGGGTGAGCTGAGATCGTGCCATTGCACTCCAGCCTGGGCAACAAGAGTGAAACTCCATCTCAAAAAAAAAAAAAGAAATTTCCTCAGCAAGGCAATTTACTTCCTTAGAAGGGCGCAGCTCACAGATGAAACAACAGGCAGCCCACACCTGGACAAGGAGGGGAAGGGGCACTTATGCCTGTTGGAGGTTGTCCTCCTGCTGTGCCATTCTCCTATTGGCTAGGGTTAGACCACCCCGTCTAGTCTAATTCCAATTAGCTATTTTAAAGGGAGCAGGGGTAGAGCTGGAGTGGCGGGAAGGACAGTTACGGGCAGGTCAGGGAAGAAGTCAAAGGCGGTGACCGGAGCAGGTGACCGGGATGAGTCAGGATGCAGCAGGGACCGGGGAACAGAGGTGAACTACTGATTAGAACTGGTGGAAACGTTTACTGAAACTACAAGGAAGTTAAACTGTAAAGTAGAGAATTAAAGAATAACAGAGGTGAACGTACTGCCGTACTGATTCATTGAAGAGAAACCTGAGGTTCACTATATCTAAAAACCCGATGGATACGGGAGCACTTACAGGCCCTCCACTGCAGCATGGACTCTTTCTTCTATGTATTTACGTTTTAAACTTTATGTGACATTTTCCTTCACAGACCACAAGGATGACCATTGTGTGAGCTTCTCGGTATTGTCTGGCTCAGTGTGAATTAATAGCTGATGAGCAAATAAGTCAAGATACTCAGCTCCTAAAAAACTACCACACCTGGTGAAGGCGGTGGGGAAAGTGTTTAGCATCAGCTTCATAACACCCGGGCTGGGGAGCGGTGGCGGACAGAGGAGAGGACTAGAAAGAGAAGGCCAGGCACACCCTTCCTCTCCGCTAAGCCCTTTTCATTAGATTCTCCACACAGAGCTCATGTTGCCCAGTTGAGTAGTTACCGACGATGGCTTCTGGGCCACTGGAATGGCTTCTGGGCCACTGGAATGGCTTCTGGGCCACTGGAAATACAGCATTCAATATCATATCATTAAGTGAACACACTGGGTAAGAAAGACACAGGAAACTGGGGATTCCTTGGAAAAGCAGTTTTACCTATAGTGCTCACACACAGCCCAGTTTCCCGAGAAGGGCCCTTGTCACGTGTCCGGGGTGCAGACCCACAGCCTGGGACTCTGAGGGCAGTTGACACAGGTGGCCGTGTGGACAAATTGTGGCTTTTTGAGAACACTGGGGGATCTTACTACAGGGGGATCTTGCCTTGGGAACCCTGGACACAGTGCGCACAGCCCACCAACCCCAGACCCCTGGAGGTCCATGCTGTAAACACGGAACTCTTACTCTCCTTACGAGTCATAATCCTCCCAGTTCTCAAAACACATCATTTCTCCTTGGCTGAGCCAGTGTGAACCTCCCATTTCTTCCCACACCGTCTGAGCCTTCAGGCCCTGCCAGGTGGCCCCATTGCCGAGAGGCAGGACTGAGTGGTCACGTAGGTGTGTGGTTACCTGCCAGAGGGAGGGTGGCTGGCCATCTGGGACACAGTATCCAGGTACACTTTCTGCCATGCAGGCTGGACCTGAGTGACGGTGTTTAGGCCAAGGGGAGGGCCCCTGGCTGGTTGTTGTCACGTCTTCCCGTGTCTAATGTGCAGAATTCGGAAACTACTTGCTGAAGGCAGGATTGCCATGTACACAGCTGTCCACCAGGGTTCATCCCAGAGCCCAGCCCCACTGCCTGCTTCTTTCCAGCCCATTAGAAACCGGTCAGGACAAAAGGAGTTGCCCGGCCGGGGTGGGGAGGGGCGGGGAACGCGAGTCAGGACCTAAATGATGGGTGACGAGCCGGGACTCACACTGCAGTGCCCACATATGCCTTGATGGCTGCCTGCCTCGGCCTGTGGGGCTGGCAGGGATGAGAGTCAGCCTTGGTCGCAAGGCCAGGGCTGGGTGGTAGAATCGGCTTCCCTGCAGCTGTGCTGTCCCGGACGGCAGCGCCTGGTGCCTAAGCTCCCATTCACAGTTTCTTTATAGACCACAGGAGTGAAGGTTCTGGAGGGCGTCATGGGGAAGCAGCTCAACCATAAGAACAGGCAGGCCAGAGGGCAGGTGGGGCTTAGCTTACCTTGTTGAGTTCTACCTATGACAATTCCTTTATAAAAGTATAGTTTTCTTTTAAAATTGTATTCTTCTTAAATGAGGTGTTCTTATTAAAAATGCAGAAATAGTATATAGGTGCATGAAATAAAAGAGTAAACAGGCCCCTTTCCTCCCACCAATTCTATTGTCCAGAGAAGGGTTTGATCTCTCTCTCCATACACACACACACACACACACACACACACACACACACAACACATTTTGCATATATGCCTGCCATATACATGTGTCTATATTTATATATATTCACATAAATTCATATTCACATAGAGACATGTGTATACAGACATACATATATATACAAAATGTGTATATGCATTTTTATTCAACAGTAAGCAATGGTTTTCAGCGCTTGTCTTTACAAGGTGTTC